GCTTGTCGACTCGGGCGTGGCATTCTACAAACGTTACCAAGCGCTCGCTGCCGTGAATGAGCCCTTCATTCGATCTTCCGGCCAGGAGCGCGTGGTAGAATCTGGCCTGAATTGGACGCAAGGTTTCTATGGCTCCAAGGTTGCCGATGGCCACAAGGTAGGTGGCGGTGGCATCGGGGGGTCCATGGTCATCATCCCCGAGGCCGAGGGCGTCAACAACACGCTGGACCACGGCCTCTGCACTACCTTTGAGGATGGGGCGTACTCCAACGTCGGCAACGAGGCGCAGACCCCGTGGCGTGACATCTTCACACCTCCGATCACGGCCCGCCTGAACAAGAACCTGCCCGGCGCAAACCTGACGGCCGCGGACACCATCAGCCTCATGCAGCTGTGCCCGTTTAACACGGTGGTCGACGGCACGCAGTCGCAGTTCTGCGACCTCTTCTCGCTAGAAGAGTGGAAGAGCCTCGAGTACTACGAGACGCTGGGCAAGTATTACGGCTTCAATGCGGGCAACCCGCTCGGGCCGACGCAGGGTGTGGGCTTCACTAACGAGCTCATTGCGCGGCTGACGCGGCAGCCCGTGGTAGACCGCACGTCGACTAACTCGACGCTCGATGCGGACCCGGCGACGTTCCCGCTTGATAGGAAGCTGTATGCCGACTTCAGCCACGACAACGACATGATGACCATATACGGTGCGCTAGGGTTGTACAACGAGACGCAGCCGTTGTCCAAGACGGAGCGGACGTCTGTGTCGGAGACCAAGGGGTTCACAGCGAGCTGGACGGTGCCGTTCGCAGCGCGCATGTACGTGGAGAAGATGAAGTGCGGCGGTACGGAGGAAGAGATGGTCCGGGTGCTGGTTAACGACCGGGTGGTGCCGTTGGTGGGGTGCGGCGCCGACGAGCTCGGGCGGTGCCAGCTGGGGCCGTTTGTGGAGAGCCTGGGGTTCGCGCGGAGCGGAGGGCTCTGGGACCAGTGCTTCGTGTGATACCCAGATTAGGCTTGATTCCATTGTCGAATAGACTACCTAGACCTAGAGGCGGGATGATGAATAGTATCTCCCCCCAATAGAGCCAAGAGGATACGACTTTGTGTTGGCGAAAGCTTGCGAACAAAAAACATGTCGAGTGTTGGTATCAAGTGTCGGGAGGATCATCGGTGGCACCAAAGTTTCAGTTGACAAGGACCCAGGAGTCCGGGTCTGGCAGATGGAAGCGACGGCGGGTCCCCTTGTCTGGGGGTCATGGAGACGTCCCCTCGTTATTTGGGAGCCATTTAGCCGCCAAGGACGTAAGTGTCTAGAAGGCCGCATCATCAAACATCCCCGGATCCCATGCATGCATGCAATGCGGAATTCCATACAAGACCCAATCAATCCTGTTCAACAGAGTTGGGATTAAGGATCTGGCCGAGTTGTTTCGTCTCGACGGACTGAGTGAGTGAGGTGGTGAGTGAATGACAAGGGTGGTGGGGATCGGGTTCGTTTCTCCGCTATGAATAGCGCAAGGTCCCATCCCCCACCAGGTTTTGGGCCACGAGGGGTTCAAAGCTGATTTTGTTTGCCGGTCTTGGCTGTACAAGGGAGAAAAAGGAAAAAGACAACAACCACCACAAAAAAAAAAAAAAAAAACAGAGAGAGAGAGAGAAAAGAAGAAAAAGAAGAATAAAAGAGAGAGAGAGAGAGAGAGAGGAGTCATGTTCCTCGAGCGCTACTCTATCCTCAAAGCACAAGGTGCACGTCATCGCGATCTTGGGACGTTGGGACGGGATGCTGTCTCCCCAATCCGGTCACCTCCCCCGTCTTTGGGATGAGAAATAGAAAAACGAAAACAAAGGACGACGACGAAGAGCTTTCTTTGGCGATTGTCTACAATAGAAACAAATTGTCACACAGTGGTTGTTGTCCAGTGGAATGTGCACGCATCCTAGCGCCAGCCCGCGCGCGCGGTTGTCACTCCCTGAGCTCAGCTTTGGGAAGCAAAAGAACACCGAGACAGGAAGGTCAGAGCTGATTGGACAGCATCAGCAAGCAGGAGGATATACATACATGATGGGCTGTCCACTAAAGAAAACACCGAGCTGCCGGGTTTGAGAAGCCAGCGTTTGCGAGTAGCGGAGTGGAGGAAAAAGCCTGAGAGGAAGAAAGGGAAGAAAGCGGGGGGGGCCATACGTACCTTACCTACCTAGGTAGCTAGGTACCCAAGGTAAGATGTACCTTACCTTACCTGCCCGGTGGTAGTTGGCAATTGGCAGCCGTGGGGGATCAGTCGGCTTGCTTGGGGGGGGGGGGGGGGGGGGGGGGGGGGGGGGGGTGGGGGGGGGGGGGGGGGGGGGGGGGGGGGGGGGGGGGTGCAGCATGCTTAGCTTAGCTTATCCCATTGGCCGTCTCCTTCGTTCCGCGCCGGGCAACTTGCAGTCAATCAATCCTCACTGCCCTGTTTGCCATTTGCTACCTTGCCTCATCGCCGCCGACGCGGGTAACAAACGCGGGCTTGCAAAGTCTTTGGTACATGTAATCCGCTTGGGTGCTGCTGACCTGGCCTTGCGCAACGCAACGCACCGCACTACACCGCACTGCACCACTCACTGCGCTGGCTTTCTCGTCAAACAAGGTTTCAACGGGCCTGCAGCCTTTCCTCCCCATCCAATCCAATCCACATACCTGACTACAGCCGGGCTCAAGCTTACGCCTACTTTCTTGCTTTACTTCCTCTCGGACAGCCTTCCATTCAGCCGTCTAGGCGCACTCCTGCTAGTCTCCAACAGCGTATGCCGCGTGCCGTGTCCGTGTATGTCGCACAATCATTCACCCACACACACAGCCCACCAAGCCAAGGCGCAACACCGAGCCGAACCAAGCAGCCGCAGAGGACGACGCAAACCGCACCACGCACTTTCGACCACCTTTCATGAACCGGACCTCCATCGGCCGCCGCCGCCCATCCTCAACCACCGACACACTCATCACCAACACAGTCGCTCCGTCACATTGTCGACGTCGCGTTGAGAGCCCTTGTTTCCTCTCCTCCCCTCACCATCAAAGCCGACCGACTTGCATCGTCGCAATTGAATCGCAAACATGGTGTCAGTCGCCGGAGGCATCATCATCACCATCCTGGTCCTGGTCCTCATCGGCATCGTCGGTTGGATCATCTTCACTCAGCTCCGCGCTCGAAGACTAGGCGTACGTTGCAAATCTTCCCATCCGCCGCTAAGCTATCACCCAGGTGATTAATACTGACCGATGAACGAACAGCTCCCGCCTCCCTCGCTCTCCTCCTACTTACCCTTCGGAAAATCTGGAGCCGCGCCCTCCTACGGACCCCCGCGCCCCGCCCCAAGCGGCATCTCTGGCTGGTTCAACGACAAGATCAGCTCTTTCAAGAACCGCAGCAACCGCTCCGCCGCCGGCGCCTACGAGCAGCCCTCGGGAGACGGCCCACCCCGCCGCGGCTTCGGCCCGCTCGACCCGGACGAGGCTTGGGATGCGCGCGTCGGCCACGAGGCAGAGACGTATGGCCCCTACGGCAACTACGAGGAGCAGGAGCTTGGGTATCGCGGAGGCAACGGTGCGAACGGTGGCAACAGCTACAGCATGAACCTTGCTGCGACGCCGGGAGTCCATGACGACGAGCCCGCGCGGGGCCGGAGCCTCAGTCGGCTCGGCGATGACGATGCTAGACTAGGCGGACCCAAGTCGGGTGGTAGGAACCCGTTCGAAGATGACGCAGAGCCGAGTAATATCAGCTTGCGCGGTGTTAGTCCCCGGCCGATCGTCGAAACGGGATCGCAACAACCGCAGAAAGAAAACGGAGAGAGCCCGACGGAGCGGAGATCGATTTTCCGGGAGAATGTATAAGAGCGCAGTCTCCCTCGAAGCTCGCACCACGAAACCTTTACTGAAGAGGGACTGACGAAGGATTGACGAGGAACTGACGAGGGACTGACGAGGGGGGCTGGGAGGGGGGGACCTTTGTTAAAGCTTGGTTCGTTTCCAACCTAGGGATTCTACTTGGGTTAAGTGGTAGAATCATATCCCTAGTGGAATATGGGGAAGGGTGGTCTGTCTTTGGAGACAATGTGGCGAAGCTACTGACGAGTAAAGGAAATCGGGCCCTGAAGGTGGAGGGTTTACTGGAACATGTTACGATTGGGGGAAATGTGCTATACAATTCCAAGGGCGTTAGGCTTGCTATATTTTCTTGCTTTACCAAGCTTTTTTTTCCCTCCTCATCAGCGGCCGATATATAAAAATGCAATGAGCCGTAAAACGGTTCCTCCTTTCTGCAACACTACTCGCCTAAAGAATTAATTCCCTAGACAAGTGATGAAATGCGTTTTGTCCTGTCTGCAAATGAACCAGGTGGTCCGGCATGGAAGTTGACGACTCAGAAAAGAATATTAAGCATTTTTCAGAGTTCCGCCGGACAGTCAGTCAGTTCTGTAGAGAATTTAGGCGATCCTAACAACCAGCCGTCTCTACTTGTCTTATATGGTCTACACTCTACTAGGGTTCTAAATATTAGTATAGTAAATTAACCTAGAAACTAGAAAAAGGTTGCATTCTATAAGACCATAATAGAAAAATACCTCTATAGAGCTACTGTCACAAGCCTCATGTACGTAGATGGTCTTGACCAGTGCGCACGTGAGTATTTGCGTGCCCCATGGGTATATAGTCTGCCATCTCGAGGATCTTCACCTCAAAATGGGCAACTTAGACGAAGACTATCTTACTACCCCTATCTATTGCTTGCTCTATTCATTTGTTGCTTATGTTATTTGTTTATTGCTTGTTCTATTGCTCCTTTCGCCCTGTTTACTGCGTCTCTTTACGTCGCTGTTGTGAAATTACTTAACAGCTCCTAGAGCTCAGCTGCCCTGTTAGATCTGGAACGGCTACCAGGTGGGCTGTCTAACTAACTGAACAGTGTATATATAATATAGTGTTTCTACAAATTTCAACCAATGGTAGCAGCTGCCCCACAATGTCCCATATAGTCCAGTGGTTAGGATACTCCGCTTTCAATACTTGGAAGCGTTCCGGAGAGACCCGAGTTCGAACCTCGGTGTGGGAACAACTTTTTTAGCCTTTTATTCAGTACTGATTTGTGATTGTCTGTTCCCTCTTTCTTTCTTGTACTGAGTTTTGTCAAGCCTTGTTCTGTATCAATAGCTACCGATCTTTAGCGTATATTGCTACCCTGTTGTGTAAGCACTCCTAGGTAGTACCGAAGAAGATCTTAACGCCGTGTGCTACGTTCAAAGTTCATCATTGGTCTGTCTGTTTACCCTTCCCCTCCGGTTCGCTATCGTCCCCCTGTCCGCCAAGCTTCCTGCGATGACAACAACCCCTAGTGAACTGGCACTCGGGTTCTAAAAAAAAAAGGCTGGTCTTCACCATATTGCCAAAATCCTAACAGTAAGAAATACTTGTTGTATCTTAGCAGCCTATTATTTATACCCCTATTGCGCTTAATAACCAGAATAAAAGCTTTCTCTATCTATGGTAAATAACTTATTATAAAGAGTATGTATACTTTTAAGTATTTTATCAGATTTTCTATATAAGAAGAGGAAGAGCAAGAAGAGTAGTAGTGTGTTATCTGTATGTAGGTTTTTTTTTTTTTTTGAAACCCGAGTGACTGGGAGGCAGCTTTGCACTCGATTACAATGGAAAGACGAATGGAAGGGGAAAGGAACCAGCCATTTTCCCCACAGTACCCATCACCCGCAAGCTATGTCATCATTCCTTCAAACCCCGCCATCATCCTACACTATATCCCACCTCTACTGCTCAATTTTCTACTTTACCCCCCCAAAAGAAAAGAAAGAGACGAACAAACAGAGAGAGCTTCGACCCCAGCGTTGATCGACACAGACAACCAACCACTTGTACAGCTTCCTTTGTTGGACAACCGCGACAACAGCAAAAGCTGTTTTATCAACCGATCCTCCTTTAGCGAACGCAACCGGTGCCTTTGGAGAGCGTAGGACCAAGCACCGCCAAAAAATAGCAGCAAAGATGGCAGACCTCAACCTCCAAGAGATCCACGACACCCTTCTCGACATCGCGAGCGAGGCGGGCAAGATGATCATGGCCGCGAATCCGTCGTCAATTGACCAGGGCACCAAGCTCAACTGTGCGTAGTCTCCCTCCTTGCCTATGTCCCCTCTGGCGGTCCAGATGCCGTTTGATTCGCCTCTACCTTGTTTTGACCCCCCGAACCGTCTGGCTTACACTCAATGTCACCTCCCCCAAATAGCCGTCGACATTGTTACCGAAACCGACCAGGCCGTCGAGAAGATGGTCTCGACCCGCCTGCAGTCCGCCTACCCCGACATCTCCTTCATGGGCGAGGAGACGTACACAAAGGGCACCCGCATCGGCCCGGAGCCGACCTTCGTCGTCGACCCCATCGACGGCACCACCAACTTCATCCACTCCTTCCCTGACGCCTGCATCTCGCTCGGACTGTCCGTCGACTGCGTCCCCGTCGTCGGCGTCATCTACAACCCCTTCCAGGACCTCCTGTTCACGGGCATCAAGGGAAAGGGCAGCTATATGCGTCGCGCGGGCGGGGCGCCGCAGCGCCTTCCCCTGGCCCGGAGTCCCATCCCGCTCAAGGGGCTCGATGGCGCCCTGCTGGCCTGCGAGTGGGGCTCCACGCGCGACGGGCCCAACTTCGAGCTCAAGGCCGAGACATTCAAGCGGTTGGCCGCGACCAAGGAGTCGGGCGGCGCCATGGTGCACTCGATCCGCGCTCTGGGGTCCGCAGCGCTCAACATCGCGGCCGTTGCGGCGGGCCAGCTGGACGCATACTGGGAGGGTGGTTGCTGGGCCTGGGACGTGTGCGCGGGCTGGTGCATCCTGACCGAGGCCGGCGGGCTCATGGCCGGCGGGAACCCGGGCGTCTGGGAGCCGTCCGTAGACGAGAGGGTGTACTTCGCCGTACGGGGGGCGCCGTCCGGGCAGAGGGAGATTGTCGAAGAGTTCTGGAAGCTGTTGGACGGGAAGAAGCTCGACTACTCCGTCTAGGCGGGCTTGGGCTTCCGAGGAGGTACTTCACGAGGAGCCGCAAGGCGGTTTCTGAAGGGGACATGACGTGATGATAAAATGAAGTAAAGATATTATTACATAGACGAGGGCTGGAAATGCAGCGACCGACGCCCGGCTGCTCAAAATTGTGTTTCTACAGAAGCTATATACGACCGACCACCCGGGTGCCCGGTCATCAGTTTGATGTACCTGAGCGGGATAGCAATAAAGGCTGGATTCCATATCCAGAATGTTTTTTTTTTATTGTTTCGGATTGCCCCAACCGTCCCTGGCATGTTCATGCTATGCTAAGTAGCATCAGGATTTAGTAGTGTGCCTTTCTAAAGCCTACCTTAACAGCTAGGCTAGCAGGCTCTAATTTAGATAATCTAAACAATTGTACTGGGCCCGCCTCCACAGGGTACTGTGGCGTATGTGTACACGAATCTTCAGAAATAGCATGGGAGACAGGCAGACGGCTGGCGGGCTGTAGTAAATCATATATTGTTGTTCTAGCTACTTTTGCTGGTTTGGCTCGCTGCCTTTCTGGCAACAACATTTCGGGACCTCGCCTGCCTGCCACGTCCGCAGCCTCTAGCCCCCAGATCTTGCTTAGAAGATCAAAGGGGTCGGTCGTCCTCATCACCGTCAAAGGAAAATACGAGAGACTGTTTATTCCAGGGGGGGCGATGGTCCTCTGCAGCATTTAGCTACGAAGGTCATCGTTTTTATCCTTACGGCTTAGAGTTCAGGGGGAGAATGATTTGTGCGTACAAGCTCAAGTTAGGATCGTATCTTTTTGCCACGAATGTCGCCGCGGATGCCAGGACTACTGGCCAGCCAGTCCACATTCACACGCGACGGGGACGGAAACCCAACGCCACTGGTAGCAAGAGTCTCGGGACGCGTTGGACTTCTGCGGCAAATTCGCCTCCGATTTCTCCCCCAAGGTCACGGTTCCGAACGACGCGTGGGATGTTGTGGCCATAGATCGTTCTCCCGAAGGGACTTTGAATGGAAATCGATGACTGGGCGCTCCCCGCTACATGTGGCGTCTTCTCAATCTCCTTGCGTATCACCGCGAGGATGCTGTGCGGAAAGGGAGGAGGACGAGCGACGTGGGATGGCCAAAAGCCCTCCTCGACAGACGCGGTAGGACCCGAGGTGGCGAGGTAACTGCAAGACGCCATCTGCCGTCACGCTTCGGCTCCAACGTCTGCTCGCGGTCCAAAAGACAACTACATCAAAGAATGCCTGGGATTGTTGGAACCAGAGGTGCGGGCATTGGGCAGGTTCATGTAACCGACTTGCGCCTGCAAAGCATCATTCTCTTCTCATCGTCCGAGACTCGAACACGGAGACGGGGAGGCTCATGGGTACCGCCAACTCAGGGGGGGACAAGAGGCCAATCACCTCCGGAAGCGCCCCCCAACATGGTGGTCAAGGGCGATGGCGTGATCACGAACTCGTTGAGGCCCTCTCGGCATCCTGCGTTTGTCGGTCCCCAAACCCCATTCGGGGGGGCGTTGGAAGTCGCAGCACCGAGTAGACAGCCGAGTCGCAGGAGAGACACCCTGTTGCGATGAGATCAGGAGCCTCGTCTCTCAAAACACGCGTTCGTGTTGCGCGTACTCGCCGGAACATTCGGCTTGGGTCGCTCAACAACGCTTGTGACGGCATCGTTACAGGGTCCACAGAAAGCTCGGCGTACGACGCGTCCAACGGCACCGCGTTTCCAGCGAAGCAGTGTCCTCTGTGTTGCGAAATGCGACCCCGACTCGATCATCTCGCCGGCCCGGCTGCCCTAGATGACATTCGAGACGGAAACGACCAGAGAAGGCTTGCAACAGCCGAATGATAGTAAGAGCTTTGTCGGATCACGTCCGTTTACCCGAGTAAGAACATGGATGTCGGTGTGCCTCACTGCCTCGCTGCTATCGGCGAAACGTCTCCCTCTATCTGGCCCAGAGACCGAGTTTTCCGTAATATAGAAAGTTTCAAGTAAGTATTCCGCAGTCTGTTCGAGTAGCTCCGAGGCCTATAACGCTAAGCCCTGGCGATATCTGGACTGCGCCGCCCGCCTACCAAAACCGCTTGTTGTTTCCATAGAGCATCTCAGCCTAGCTTTTGGTTCGGGCACAAGTGAGAGGAAAGTTGCAGTATGCAGGCCCTAGCTTGATGTTGAACCAGGGCTCACAAATCTAGATGGACCGACACCTGCAGCCAGTGGCGTTGTTGGGATAGTGACATGAAACTGGTCGACGGGACTCGTGTCACCAAGGAGTGTGTTGAACAGCCTGATGACATGTGAAGAAGCCCAGGAGTAACCGTACCAATTACAGGCATCTAATCACCTAAACTAGCTCGACACAAGAGACATGCAAGCCGTCCGGTGCCAAGCGATGGGGTGGCCAATGGGCATCGTAACACGATACCGCAATATGTATTGACAGTCGAAAGCAGGTCAAGCAAGGCAAATCCAATGCGCCTAAATGCGAACAATCAAGAGACGACGTTGAAGGCGGCTCTTTGTAAGACATGGACAGCGTGGGGGTTCGCGAGAACGTCAGAGCCTTATAGGATGGCGTGCGCGGGGTGAGTGGAGCACGACGTCAGGGACCATGGCACATCCTTGTCTCAGGCCCATTGAGGGACCGATTTGGGAATTAAGCATTTTTGATGCCGAAGGGGGATGCCAAAGCTAGACGGCGCCGAGTAATTAGCACTTTTTTCCACGTCAAGGATCGGAACGGAGATCTTCGGTGGCGGCGGCGTTCTGGGTCGACGTAGCACACCTTTTTGGTTCTTGGGGGCGAACCATCTGAGCGGTTTAGGGTGTGCGGACGCGCCGCCTGGCGATTGGCGAAGAGCAACGACAACGACGACGACCAGGGGGGGGGGAGCGCCCCCGGAAAGACAAACTCCTGGAGGGGCGGAGAGCGAGAAAAACAAAAACAAGCCAGTGACTGACTCTTAGCGGTCGTCTCAGGCCTTTAGCAGACAACGGGCTTGTGAGTTGGTCTTGGACACGTGTGAAGG